AAGCATGTCAGTCATTAACTTTTAATTCGAATTGCCACTATCAAAAGCGAGACCAATGCCAACCGATAACAATATCCATTTGTGTTGGACTCTGTTTTCTTGTGAAATATTGCTTGGTAGATTCGTACTTAATTTGTATTTATGTACATATATACCTTAGAAAGTAAATCTCGTAAATTTAACGATTTTTCTCTTTTAAATTATCTGCAAATGCGAAATGTTTCTAGCAATAATTTTACTCTGTATTTTGAGCGCGATTTTTTCAAGTTGCGTTTAAAATTTATCTGCGCTTTAAATATAAAAATTTTTTCAAAACAAAATTTGTGTTTAATATTTTTCATTATTTCTGTTGCTAGAAAAAGTACCTTGCTGCTCTGTACATTTTCTTGAAGAAATAAATATACGAGCCTATTTTGCCTGGGAGCCGCATACTGATTTAAGAAATTTTGATATGTAGAAGACAATTTCATTTCTATTTGTACGTCAGTTGCAGATAGGCCTTAAAGGACAGATAAATTTAAAAGTTACTTGAGAAACCGGCCCTTAAGAAAGTTATGACGTTTACTTATAACGTAACGTCAAAGGGGTTTACCTATCTAGGATTAATACGCTAATCCAAATTTTGTCCGTCCGATTTTGAAACTAAATACCAGGGACCGAGAGCGCGTTCTTGGTTTGGTTTAGTTCTGCAAGAGTATAAAACGTAATGTCAATAACGTTATCACAAAAGAACCGAACGGCAACAAAAGTAGTGAAAGCAGTTTGAATGGCAAAAAATGTAAACAAAACGTTCGGAAACGTTTCCGTAAAGAACAAAATGCGAACAAAACTCGCGGAACGTTCTAAAGAAGAAAATAATGCGAACGAAACTTTCGGGAACGTTCTTAGGGAGGATCAAATAAGAACAAAAGTCTGAGGAACGTTATGTTAGAGAACAAAACGAGAAGGAAATTTTTGGAACTGAACGTTAAAAAAATCGATTCAGTGAGAACCATGATTGTCAATTTTCAGCCAGAGGATAATTTCAACTTCCAGATCGTTTATCATTAATAGAAATAAAATTAAAACAAAAGCAGTATAACAAAAAAAATTCAAAGAAAAAAATTTTGTAGGTCAACTCAAACCGAATTTCAAGTTGAAATCACTAAAGCAACGCAGTTAACGTAAGTCGACTAAAATGGGTATGTATGGGGTGTATGGGTATGTGGCTATATCACCACTAGACACGAATAAAGGTGTGCTATTGTTTTGACGGCGAAAAGAGACACATTGACGCAAAAAGACGCGTAAAAAACATAGCTGACCGCGAAAATAAGTTTAAGCGTTTTCTACGCCGTCGACTACGTTTGGGCGCCTTCCTTCGCTGAAGTTTCTTCGCGGTCAACTTTACGCCTTTATTCGTATCTAGTGACGATATGATATAGTGCCTCGAACCGAACAAAATTTAGCGGGACAACTCAGAAGTCTATAATACACATCTAAACCGAATTTCGTGCTGATATCTTTTATATTTAGATTTGTTTTCCGTAGTACAATGTGCGCTTCAGTTAAAGCAGAAATTAGTAAATTTTTCGTAGGTTTTAAAACCGCTTTTGCTTCCTTCCGGCCCAATTTCCGGTTCCGTATAAAGCATTTTCGGTTCAAATGGATTGGTTTTTCAGTTCTTTGGACTCATTTTTGGGTTTTTCTGAGAAAATTTTTTGGTTCTTCTAAACCGGTTTTTGGATCTCTTGGAATCGCGCTTCGGCTCTTTTGGAACTAAGTTTTTGATCTCTGGGAAGCGTTCTACGGTTCTTCTGTAACCTTTTTTCTGTTTTTTTTTTAAAGCAAATTTTGGTTCCTTTAGACCCCTTTGTAGGTGCCTTTGGACCCATTTTTCGTTTCCAGAACGGCCGGAACGGAAAAGTTTACAGAACCCCAGAAGTTGTATCGGAGGTGTTTACTATACTTTTTTTTAAAAATAAACTCTTTTAATAATTTAGTAAATAAAAAATAGCTTTTTCGCTGTACACCTACTTGTACTCATATATGTATATTACATTCAATGCCTTTCTATATATTCCAAGGCAGTTAAAGAAATAAACTTTATTACATTTTCATGCGAAATATTTGGGTATAACTCTATAAATATCTGATTAAATTCAGTGTGATAAATCCAATGCCAATTAAACTACATCCTTTTGCCTACTTTACGACTGCAATAATACGAAAACAGCAATATAAACTAATCTCACCTAAATGAGATTTAAAGCCGAGAAATAACATTTATCATAAGTATTAATATAAAACCTAAATAAACGCATATTTATGTATGTATGTATGTATGTACGGATGTATGTATGTATACTACGAGAAAATACGTACTTGAGCCAATAAAGATTTATCTAAGTAAATATGTGTATTTATATAATAAAATAAAGCCCTTCACTGCACATTTATATGTACATATGTAAATATTTACATTAGGATGCCTCACGAAAAAAGTCTCTGCTCCCATCTAAATATTTGGTACCATTTTGTGGTCGTTTTTGAGCCGGAAGGCGTTGAAAATACATCCAAAAATTACGAATTTCGCAAAAAAAGTGGACAGCTTGTTACCATTCTTCCAGTACTGCAATCTTAATCTTCTTCCATACAAACTCGTACCACACAATTTTGGGGGAGCTAAGTAACTCTAGAGATGAATCACTAAATGAAGGTTTGAGTTTATGCAACAGGTTCTGATTCTCACCCCAGGATCTTCTGTGCTGAAGTCTCGCATCTCTAGTTGAAGAGTACCAAAGCTTCTGTTCTTCTCAGATGATCGGTTGTTGTAGTTTTATTTTGACGATTTACATCCACAAAATCATATTTACATAGTATAGAGTATAGGAGGCTGTAAAATATGTTCTGGAGGTACCAGTGGGAGGTTTGAATCTCACTCAGGAGTCGATTGATGGTTTTGACGAGCCGATTAAGAGACTTTTCTCCCTGATTTTTCACATTGACAAGACCCAACCGCACTGGTAGACAAAGGAACTATCTCATCTAAGAGTTTCAAGTAAATGATTTGTTAACAAAGCTAGGGGAAGTCGGGTAGACACCGACTGGATATTGCATAAGATTGCACTTCGGATCCATAAGTTGGAGATCAAAAATGCCAAGCGGGTATGCTGAAGGAAATTCGGCAAGGGCGTGGAAGGTAGTCATAAATTCGCGAGATTTACCCGAATGCGGAGAATTGGGCGATGAAAAGCGAGGAGCCACTCGGACTACTCCTTAGCTCTCACTTTTCGAGTGATTCAGCAGCAGTTAGAGTCAGCATTGAATCTGACTTGAACCTGAGCGAGTACCGCCAGCTCAGTGCTATAAACTCAGGTTCGAAGCTATTCTTCTTTGTAATACCACGTTGAATTTGAACGCAGACCAATACAAATCGACTTAGTACCGCGGGTCGATTACAAAATTCTAAATTCGCTTAGCTTTAAACCACGAGAGTTTCTTAGGCTTAACTAGGAAAAGCGGGCCAAAATGTGATTCCTCCTTATAATCCTCAAGGCAGTTCTGATCGAGCAGTGGTATGTCAGAATCCTCCACCAGTCGTCAGGGGAGTCCTTTCAACCACCCCCAATCCACTCTAGGCCAGAAGAAAACTGTAGGTTCGACAAAGAAATAAAGAAAGACACTCTTGAAGAGTTGTCGCCGCGTAAAGAGAGTGTGAGAGCCCCGCTTGTCACATGTGAGCAGAAAATGAATGGCTGCATTTAACGCCACTGGGGGCGGGGAGAGACTAAGCCAAAGCAAAGATAAGGATATAGAAAAAGATGAGGATAAGGATAACGACAGAGATAAAGAACATAAAGAGATTAAGATTAAGCAGAAGATGAAGAAAAAGGCGAAGATGTAGGTAAAATTGAAGATGAAAAAGAAAACGGAGGTCAATATGAAGCTGACTAAGGAGTTGTAGATGCGGATTGAAGGTAATGCGGACCGATAAAGAGAAAGATGAAGAAGAAGATATAGGTGAAGATGAAGATTAAAATTGAGGTTAAGGATAAGGTTAAAATTAAAGTTAAGGTCAAGAATAAGGTTAAAGTTAAAGTTGAGGTGAAGGGTAACATTAAGGCTAAGGTTAAGATTAAGGTTAAGATTAAGGTTTAAATTACGGCTGAGGTTAGGGTTAAGGTTAAAGTTAAGATAAAGTTTAAGGTTAAGGTTAAAATTATGGTTAATGCTAAGGTCAAGAAAAAGGTTTAGGTTTTGTTAAGGGTAGGATTAAGGTTAAGATTAACATTTAGTTATTAATGTTAAGGCTAAGGTTAATATCAAAGTTTAGGTTATGGTTGGTGTTAGAGTTAAAGTTAAAGTTTAAGATTAAGGTTAGGGCTAATAATATTAAGGTTAAGTTTAACATAAAGGATAAGGTCAGGGTTAAGGTAAAGCCAAGCTTACAAAAATGGTTAGGGTTGGGGTTGAGGTTAAACTTATGGTTAAGGTTAGGGTTAAGGTTGAGTTTAAAGCTAAGATTAGAGTTAAGGTTGAGGGTAATGTTAAGGTTAAGGTTAATATTAAGGCTTAGGGTACGGGTTGGTTTAAGGCTAAGGTTAACGTTAACGCTAAGATTAGGGTTAAGGTTAAGGTTAAGGTTAAGATCAAGATTAAGATTTTGGGTAGAATTAAGATTAATATTTAAGCTAAAATTATGGAAAGGTAAAGACAAATCCGAAGAAAAAGATAAAGACAAATATTAATCCTTTCACGCGTAGGCATTAAACACACCAAGTTTTTCATGCGCTGTTACGCTGAATTGATCTGAAATACGTACATATACTGGTGGTTGTTAATTTTTATTTTATTTTTTAATTCATAATACATTGAAGCGCGAGTCGGTCTAATGTGCAATTTATATGCACATATGTATATTTACAATATAATATCCTATAAGCATTTACCGGATATGAGGAATATAACAAATCTACACAAAGCATGCAATAAAATACGAAAGCAATTGTTCTACTCACCACAATGGGTAGCAAAAGTTCATGCGTCTCATTGCCTCGCCACAAATGCGAATCGCTCGGCACGTTTTGTAGTTCACATTCGAGTGAGTTGATTTTCTCTTGCAAAGGACTAAGTATGCGTGGCCGGCCAATTGGCTTTGAGGGGGATTTAGTGAGATTTGTGGTGCTGCTGGGGGTAGTGGTGTGGTGCGATGAGGAAAATATTGTGCCGGCGATGGTGGTGGTGCTGCTGGTGCTGCTGATGGCAGCAGTGGTGTCATGCGGTTGGCTTAAATGCGTCAATGCCTGCTTCTTCGGTTTCGGATGCAGCTGTGGATATGGGTAAATAAGCGGCGAAGGAGTTGTTGGGTCATCTGAGGCTAATTTTGAAGTCACTACTCTTGCAAGCTCGCTATTTGTGCTCGCTGTTGTAGCAAGTGGTATTTTAGTTGTCGTTGTTGCTGTTGTAGGTGTCAGTTTAGCGCGCTTTACATGCACAATGCCAGCACCAGCGAAATTAACCCGTTTTGCTTGAGTTGGCCTCACTTGCTCTTCCGTAATTGTGCTGCTGCTGCTGCTGCTGTCAATGGTGCTGTCAATATTGCCAACAGCTGCACTCGAAGCGGCGGCTGTTAGTGTGAGTGTGGGCGTGGTTGTGTGTGTGTACGTGACGACAACATTGCTTTTACGACGTTGCGACATAATGTCAAAAGTTTTGCCACTTGCAACCAAATCAACTTTGCCCGCAGCAGTGATGTCAAGCGCGCTAAGCTTCTTTGCTGTCGCGCTGCCACTTACATCACTACTGGATGATGGCGCATGCAAGTTGAGTTGACTGCCATTTCGGTTGTTTATTGTCGTTCTACTTGTGCTAGCTTGTTGTGGTGGTGATGGTGGTGATGTGGCTGCTGTCAGCATATTTGGGATCGACTTGTTCGCACCCCTTGTGCCATTGGCGTTTGTCGACGGCAACAGCATCGACTTGAGCAGCAATTTAGCGCGTTGCAATTCTTTTTGGTACTTCTTAGTTGGCTTGTCGACGTCGGATTGTAGTGACGGGAAGCGCTCTGCACTGGCGGTACTTGCTGCTGCACCAAACAGCTGCGTTGGTTTGCCAAGTAATGCATTTTGCTGCTGCTGCTGCTGCTGTACACGCTGACGCTGTGGTTGCCCTAGCTCCGCCTTTTCCACGCTTTGTGCTGTCTGTTTGATGCCACTTTTTGTTGCTTCACTTGCATCGCCTTCCTTATCCTCGCTTGTGCCACCACTACCGCCGTTAGCATCGCCACGCTTCGAATTCATGTTCACTACTTCACCCATAATTGGTTTGCTCGGTTCTGCGACTTTCGCATTCTGTAAAGTTTCCAACTTTGCATTTTGGTGCAGTGCAAATCTGCTTGCCGCCGTCTCCAAGCCCGCGCCACCACTACTAGCCGCTGTTGTTGCTGCGCTGTGTGTGATTGTCGGTTGTTGTGGTGGCGTTCCTGCTGCGCCTGCCATTGCCTGCTCCATCTTGGATTTCGCCTTCAGTCGCTTGCGATTGTGTTGCATCATTTCGTTGTAGAGCTCTTTGCTGTTGTAGAATTTTGTTGTCGAAAATTCCGGATGCGTCCCAAGTGCAGCTCGCATTGCGCCACCGTCACCACTCTCAGTGCCACTATTTGTGGCGGCTTCGCCTTGTGCTTGTGTAGCACCGCCGCCGCCGCCGCCACCTGTATTGAACTTTGTATTGGCAAAATCGACATGTGGCATTGTGAGTGTATCACTGGCGCTAGCGCTGGCTGCGCGATGCATAGGAAAGTCAAAACTTTTCTTCACGCGCCGCTCAATGAAATCGTGTTGCGCCGGCAAACGTTGCGAGTTGCTGCCGCTACGCTTTTTGTTCTCGTTATTCTTATTGCTTGCGTATTTATTTTTAATACTTTGGGGCGGTTGAATTTTGTGGTTCACACTATAGCTCGATTTAGCGCTAGTCAGCTGTCCCACACTGCCTGGTGCTGTGGTGTTGCTAGTCGCGACTGCACTTTCTTTACTCTCAGGCCTAGCTGCTGTGCCTTCAATTGCCGCAGCTGTTCCAGCTCCCGTTACCGGCCCCGTCACGGCCACCACCGCCGGCGCAAACTCATTCAAGCGAAACTTTTGCTCGATTTCCGTAATGACACCATCCTGTTCGGCCAGCACTTTTCCGGTAAAATCAGTAATATCATCTGGCTGCCTCGGTGGCGCTGTCCCTGCTACTGCTCCCTCTTTACTTTTCTCCTCTACGCTTTTTGTCAACATGATTGGCCTACGATTGATGCTCCGATGCGCGGCCAGATTATTGATGTTATCGTAACGCTGTACTATGTTGTCGACTGTATCCACTTCATTTGGCAATAAATTCTGTTGCTGTCGCTGGGTGATTTGCCCACTATCCGCTGGTAAATATACCACTTTTTCCTCTACCGCATGCGCCTTCGCATTTCCATACCACTCCACAGCTGTTGGCTCTACTTGCGGCCCCTGCTCGTTGTCGTCGCCCTTCTCCACAGCTTTATACACTGTGCGCTCCTTTAATAACTTCGCATTGGAGTCACGTATAATTGGATTGAAATCCTCCATTTTCATCGGATATAGATCAACTATATTGAGAGCGGGTGGTGTAGCAAGTGGCGCTGACAGTGGACCACCCCCCGTGAATGCCGGCGTTGTGTACTTGGTGTGGTCACTCTGTTGCTGTTGCTCTTCTTGTTCTTTGTTGTTATTTATCTGCTTGTTGCTCATGCTTTCGCCACTGCTATTGTTGCTTCTTCTATCCAGCCTATCCTCCAGCTGGCTTGCGGTGTGTTCATTGTCCTGCTGCACCTGCCGGTTTTCCATACCATTGTTCGCTTGCTGCTCGCGGCGTAATTGGATTCGTTGCTGTTGTTGTTTTTGCTGTTGTGCAGCCTTCTGCTCACTCCTCTGCTGTTCGCTATTATGTTCGTCCAATGTTGACTGCTTTTCCGTGCTAGTTTGTTGTTCAAGTTGGCCTAGTTGTTTGCCAGCCTGTTCTGCGCCTAGCAAACCTTGTGGAGTGGTGGTTAGCGGCTCTTCACTCTCCGCTGCGCGCTCACCTTCCACTTGCATGTTTGGTATTATATCGGTGGCTGTTATTTCTGGATGTCCATTGTCCGCGCCCAGCTGCCGCACCCCACTTTGCTGCTGCTCCGCACTACGTCCATTGTACTCGTCAGTTACAATTTCAGCCAATTTAATGCGGTATAGGCCATTCTTTAGCTTCTGCTGCTCGGTATTCATGCCATTCATGGCTTGTTGTGCGCCTGCTGCATGCTCGCTGCTTGTTCGCTGTGTAGTTTGTGACTTTGTGACAATTACTTTTGTTGTACCGGGTTCGTAAAGCTCTTCCTCCTGCCGATTTGAGCTCGCCTCCCCTTCTGACCAACCTGCTTTTTGTGCTTCATCGCGTGGTTTATTCGCTCGAACTACTTCACTTATTATTTCCATTTGGTTTTGTGTAACTTCCTCCCTCCTACTGTCGTCAATAATCCCGCCTGCTTGCTGATCGATTTCCCTCCGAACTCCATGCCCACCATTAGCAACATTAGTTTCTGTTACAGTTTTCTCCTCCCCGTTTGCACGCCTCACGCCCCGCTCGTTCGAGCTTTTTGTGCTCTGTTCGTTTACACGTTTGATGATTTGTGTTTCTGCCTCATTTCCGTCCTGCTGCGGCACGAACTCTCCTGCTCCTGCGCCACTACCCGCAGCTCCTTTGCCTGACGGAAGTGTATTCGCATGTGATTTACTTTCAAAATTCACAGTTAGTACTTCCGTAATTTTCGTTGCTGGCTCGCCTGCTATTGCACTAGTAGTTGCTGTGTGGGCGTGCGTTCCCGACCGTGTGGCCACATGCACCATTGCTGCTGCATTAATTTTGGTTGGCATTGATGTTGCTGTTGCTGTTGGCTCTTCCTGCCCACCATTAGTTTCGCTAAAAGGAAACAGTCGCTTTTTTGCTGCGATTTCCTTATCCTTTTGCGTTTGTGTAGCTTTATGCTGTTGTTGTTGTTGTTGTTGTCGCTTTGCTTGCTCATACATTGCTGTTAGCGTCACCACTGCACCTCCTGCTGGTGTTTCTGGTATTGCGGTGCTCAAAACCCGTTCGTCCGCATCGTTTGTTGCCGTTAATGTTGCAGGCGCATTTGAGGATGCTAATGTCACGGTTATAGCTGCTGTTGTTGTTGCTGCTGCTGCTGCTGCTGTCGCTGTTGTGGTAGCTGTTAGTGTTTGTGTTGCCACCGCCACTGTTTTTGCTTCAGTGCTTTGACTCGCTGCCTTGGTCGCCCGCGCCACAGCTTCTGCTGTCGCACCCACTATCGTCGTCCTTGGTGTCGTCGTTGCGCCAGTCGCTTGCTGTTGTCCTGATTCGGCGAAACCATTTACGTCAGCAAACACCAACAACACTGGCGCTATTACAAATGCTAAAATGTAGAATTTTTGCATTTTTGCGAATATTTCCGCCGAATTTCGGTTGTGTTGCTAAAGTTTTTTTTTTTTATTATTTTCTAGTTGCTGCTGCTTCAGCTGCGTGTTTTTGCTATTTCAGCACTTCCTGTTTTCTCACACTTCCTGTTGTTCCGCTGTCCGCCGACTAGTTGGCGCTCTGCTGCACCTCACTTCGTTCTAACTTCCACCTCTCTCACCCGGCGCACTGAACCACTCTCTCTTTATCTCTCTCACTCTGGTTGATTTACTTCCGTTACTGGTTATGCCCCACTGTTTTAGTGCCCAACAAATGCAATGACGTTTTCGTTTCGTTTCCCTTTGCTTCAACAGATTTTAAAGCACTTGTTGTTGCAATTGTATTGTCGTTGCTTTCGTTTTAAATACTGCATTTGTTACCTGTACTTGTGCACCATTCCTTTTTACCATTAAGTTTTCACATGACATTGTTTTATGGGTGCTCTTTGTATCACCTGAAAGGGAAAGAAAAAAACAGTAATAAATTATTGCCAAGTCAAGTAATTGCATTGTACTTTTAACATTTACGTAACTGGTTTGTGTGTTTATGCCTGCACTTGTGTTGCAATTTATTGATTTTCGTGCCGCCAACCGTAAAGGTAAACAAATACGAGGAGAGTTCTAGCTTGCAAGAAGGGGTTTCTAGAAAGTTTTCTATAACTTTCAAAAAAGTTATTTGGCGATAATGGTGTGAATCCAATTTCGAGTAAAAATAAATGTTTGAGGTCCCATAAAATTGTTGTTGTTGTGGAACGAACAAATTTAAAATACTCGCAATACTTTTAGAAAAACCTTCAACCAGGCAACTCTATCTGGTAGTGAGGTACACTAGACGACAAATGAAGGTGCACACCTTGTTCTAATATAATATTCCCAATTATTTTCAAGAACAATTTTTTTACATTAATTATTTATGAAAATGTGATTCATTCCAAAATTTAAATTATATAAATCAAAGTTTCAAATATCAAAAAAATGTTCAGCAAAACTAAACTTTTTATTAGGTTAGGTTAGGTATGCTGGCCACCCACTACGTGACTTCCCAGATACCATTAAGGCCCATAGCGTTACCAGATAAACTACGACCATTTTAGACAGCTAATCATTGCGAACCAGGAGCAATGTTGAAGAACATCGCAGTCCTCTTGGCAAACTGGAACAAGTTGTTAAACCCTAACTTGACGGCGGCTTCCAGAATAGGTGGAAAACCTGCTCTCAGTAGACTAACCCGCAGACTGCTAAGCACAGGACAATCGCAGAGGATATGCTCCACTGCCTCCTCCTGCGTTCTGCATCTCCTACATATTTTATCGTTTGTCAGAGCCAGTTTATAGGCGCACGATGCCAGCAAGCAATATTCAGTTAGAACAGCCACCAGTAGCCTAGCGTCCTCCCTCTTGAGGGAAAGGAGAAACTTCGTAAACTTCGTGTCATACTCTCTGCACAGAACTCTGGACTACTTGTAGCCTTACGTTTTGTTCCACATCTTCTGCACCTTTCGGGTCATGGACAGGCCGAGTTCCCGTTTAATCGCTTGGAGGGAAATCCGCACCTCTTCTATCGGCATGGTTTCCGACAGAGCACCGTCTTTGGCGGTGTGCCCCAAAGCCAGCACAAATGTATGTCACTATTGGAATGTAGCAAATTCAGAGCTGCTCTGCGCTTCGCCACACTTCTAGAGGAATTTCTGTGGGATAGCAAAGCCTTCATTGCAGCCTGCTGTTCAGTAGCTCCGCCGCCACCTTATAGCCAATACTTCCGCCTGGAAAATGCTGTAATGGTTTGAAAGCTTGTAAGATTTGTTGAGGCTGAGCTCCGCGCATACGGCTGCCGCCCCTACGCCTTTCTCCATCTTACATCCATCTGAGTAGAAATTCACCGAGCCAGGAGGAGTTCATGCCCTCACGTCAGCTTACGACCTCTATGGTGGCTTCGAAGTTCATCTCAAAGTGCAGATCCGGGATCACATAGTCAATCCGTCCAAGTAAAGTCGACGCTATACTACTGTGACCGTAAGACCTGCACACAAACTGCCCCGTAACATAAAGCCTGGCGGCAGTTTTCGACGCTATATCCTTGCCCGATAGGTCCACCGGCAAGAGATGCAACAAGGTATAGAGTGCCGCCGTCTGGACATCGCTTGCCGTCGGTTTAGTCCTATAAGCCCTGTCATGCTGATCATTGATAGCCTATATACACTTTCTATACTCTTAACAAATGATTTATTCTCCAATGCTGTCCACCAAGCCAGCACCCCATGGAACAGTATCGGCCTGACTATCGCCGTGAATATCTAGTAAGAAAGAGACGGCGACAAGCCCCAGGTGCAGCCCAGCATCTTTTGCAAGCATAGAATGCCACGGAAGCCTTCTTCGCCCTCTCCTCCACATTGAGGCGGAACGATAGCTAACTAACGAGGTACTTCACCTACTTCACCTGAAGGGTCACCTCATCCAGCTTAGGCTTGGACCAAATTGGAACCTTGTATTTCCTGGTGAAGAGCACCAGATCTGTTTTTTCTGCGTTGATACTAAGTCCCACTCCGATTGCCCAAAGATGTATTACCCGTAGTGCATGGCTCATAAGTGGGCTGAGTGTGGACAAACACTTTCCGCTTACTATGAAAAATATATCATCCACATATGCAGTAAGTTCGGCAGGTCCTCCCTCCATTTTCTTCAGTATCCTGTTGACCACCAGCGACCAAAGGAGCGGCGATAATACGCCCCCTGCTAACCGGATTGGTGGTTTGCGCCGAAACACTTCTGCAGCTCAGCATACTGCTTATCCAGTTTGAAATTATGGTATAAGGCCCTATCGTCGTCATTCCGTCAAAAATTGATTGCGTTGAGACGCTCCGTTTGTATAGGCGTGTTGTGCCTTTGACAGAAGGTGTCTTGCTAAGCTTTGTTTGATGTATACGTCTATTAGCCTCTTCATGGTCTTTTAAAGAAACGGTGTAAGGTTAATGGGCCTGTAATTCTTTGGATATGCGTGGCCACTTCTTTTGATTTCAATACGGAAATTCCTCCATGAGCTTCTTTCTCCACTGCATATGGATTTATTGTAGATCTTTAGAAGATCCCTGTACTCATCCCAATATTCGTTAGAGTCAGCAAACTTGTCTGGCCTAAAAGCTTCCCTAACCCGTTTTCTAAGAATACTAAGTTCATGGCTTCATCAAGGGGGCTTTGCCCTTCCTTCAGACTTCCTTAGGGGGCAGGCCTGCTCAAAAGCATCATTTAGTATTTTGGACAGACGATCGTTCACCCCTCCCAGATCCTTTACATCTCTAACCCATCTGGGCGAACTCAGCCTGTCCTCGACAAAAAAGTATCCTTTGGGCACTTTTTAGCAAAAATAGTAAAGCCTAATTAAGCACGATACGAGAAGGGGGGCCTGTGAAGGACCCTCCATCCTGTCAGCTCTACGCCAGGTTCAGAATATAAAGTTAAATCAAGAACGCTGTTCGACGTTGGTCCCACGTATGTGGGAACCTTGCCGCTATTAGCTACGCTTAAGTTACAGTGAATAACTTTTTATTCAGAATTTCTAGAAAATTTTGGAGTATAGAAAAATATATATAGTGTAATTTTATAAAAATTTTCGATTTATAAAGCAGTTAAAGTTGTAAAGTTGTCGGCCGCTGTGGTGTAGTGGTAAGCAGTGCGCGCTTCCACTCCGCAACGCCTGGGTTCAAACCCTGGTCAAAGCAACATCGCAAAAAATATAGAAAAAAGGTTTTTTCTTAACAGCGGTCGTCCGTCGGCAGGCAATGGCAAACCTCCGAGTGTATTTCTGCCATGAAAAATAGCTTCTCATAAAAATACAATCGCCGTTCGGAGTCGGCTTAAAACTGTAGGTCCCTCCGCTTTGTGTGACAACATCAAGGCGCTCGCCACAAGTCAGAGGAGAAGCTCGGCCAAACACTAACATATGTGTAAGCGCCAATCTATTATTATTATTAAAGTTGTATTTATTTTTCATGAATTTGGGTGTAAATTTCTATGCGCACGATTGCAATGAACAATTTTTCATAATGATTTAATTTTTCATAATCATGATTGTTTTATTTTTATTGCCTGAAAAGTACAAAAAAAAATGTTTTGGTTATTTAAGTAAACTAAGTATTTTTTTTATTAACCGACTTCACAAAAAGAAGAAGTTTATAATTTTTTGGTAATATTTTTTTTTTTTTTTTGTATGTTACCGCATAACTTTGGACCACGTTAACCGATTTTTATAATTTTTTTGTTTAAGGAAATGTGTTGCCTCACAGGTGGTCCCATATTAATTTGATTTAAATCCGATCATTGGATCGTGCAGAAATTAGCGATAATCTTAAATTTTTAAATGAGAATTGAAGTCGGTTTTATTTTTTGCTTAAAAATTACTTGCTATTATTTATATTATCTCAATTTAATAAATAAACAATTAAAAAACAATACTATTTGTTATACCTTATTTATTTATACAACTTTCCGCCTATTTTGTATGTGGGTACCCGGGTACCCCGGTTGGACTATTCTTGAAAATTTTTTAGGCTGAAAAGAAATATAAAATATAGTAAATGCATTTTTAATATTTTTATTGAGCTTTGTACCACGATTGTTTATTAGGAAAAATTGAAAAAGCAACAAAGTCTAATCGGTAGAAGTTATAGCACTATAACATTGACAAATACATAGTTTAGGAAGAGCCTGCCTGAGACTATACAAAAAAGCAAATAAGCAAATGGATGTATAGAATTGACAACAACAACCACGCTGTCGAGTTTAAATAGCGGCAAATCAGCTGCACTTGATAGTAGTTGGTTGAATAAGGAAAATGAATTAGCAACAAGAGTTTACGGGATGTACATAGCTCAGTGGTTAACGCTTCTGACTTTGAACATCGAATTCGCAGGTTCGATTCCTGCTGAAGTCTAGAAAAAAGAAGTCTGATGAGGAGATGTGGTGATCTCCGAAATAGTGCTATAACTTCTACCGATTAGACTTTGTTGCTTTTTCAATTTTTCCTAATAAACAATCGTGGTACAAAGCTCAATAAAAATATTAAAAATAAAATGTTAACAAGCCACAATAACATTGACAAATACATAGTAAATGCATTTCTCCATGTCAAATTAGTCAAATTAAGGGAATCCGGGAGGATTTTAAAAATTTGTTCCAAGAAAAAAGTTATTTTATACAGTATTTGTCGATGGGTACCCGAGTACCCGGTTGGGCACACTAGGGTTACACAACGATGTATTCGAAGTATTTTCATGATATACAATTACTATATAAAATACAAATGACCCAGTGTTTCAGACTTCAGTAAGTCAATAAATAAAAAAAACTGCAACAACAGCACACAAACTCTTGAAAAAAACAAATCCAAAGAACCACTTTAGTTGCCTCTTCAACTTTAACCTCTTCTGGCCTTTGTACAATATAATGTACAAGACATTTAC